TGGTGACATGAGCTAACCTCAGTTTTGAAATATAAGTTTTGTAATAATTGTTTGAGTTTTGTAATATGCAATTAAAAATGAAACATACAGTCATTGATAGGAGCAATTATATGCAGGAAGTTTATGCTTACACCATTATATAGAAATGAAGTTAAAACTGGGAAAAAATAACACAATCGTAATTATTGACAAAGTCGTTTTTACGAGAAGAAAGAGTAACGGACATGTTCTTCCTCAACAGTGGATTTTTGGAGGCATAGGCCGAGAATAGAAGAACCCTTTTTCGGTACTTTTCTGTTTTGCCGGCGCAAGCGATAAAGTCGCCAACAATGGTACAACCCATGCCAAACGGAATATTCTCCCTGGTAACCTTTTACGCCTCATTTTCAAAACAAGTCGCAGCTTTTTCTTATCAGATTGATTGTTTTTTTCAATACTGGCATATAATTACATAGAATTTTTATCAGATAGTTCAGTTTTATATCTAATGCCTTTTTCGGTAATTAAGACAATTAGGATGCAATCACAGCGCTTACCTGAAGCCGAAAATATAGAAGAAAAGGTAAGTCAAGGGTTAAATTCATCCATTCTAATGAGAATGCATTAGCGAAGTAAAGCACTACAGTTTTTCATAATTTGAGTAAGCTATTCGTACGAATTGAAATATTTCTTGCATTTAAACATGTGTTCCAAATTAAGATTTAACTTGAAATTAATGTAGATAATTACTGAGAGCATAAGATTTTTGTAGAGTAGTTTACGCGAGATGAGATCGCTTGGGGTCACATGATATGAACCGGCGAATCAGTATGTTGAACCATGAAAGCATAGTAAATTCTTAATGTCTTTTTAAAAATTTATTGTCTTTATTTATTGGCTTTTTATAAAAATTTTAAGCGATATTAAGATGTTTATGCCTTCTTTTTTTAAAAGAATTCTTAGAACTAACATTTTTTAAAATATTTTTTATGTGTATACTCTATGTTGTCGCCAATAAAGTCTGCTTGGCGAGATTTGCGCCGGCGAAACGGAAGAGTACCCCTTTTTCTTGTAGATATTTCAGATTGCTTAGCTAAAGTTTTACTTGGTACGACTGAAAAAACAAAATGTCACAGATGGTAGTACAATTTTTTCTGGTTGCTGGAAAGCATACAAAACAGAGGATTTGAAAGAAGCATGATATGATCACATCGCAATACAATTGCGATATCACAGATACAATTGCATAGAACCAAACACTGGATGTCACATGGAAAGAGTTGAAAGACTGTAGGGCAATGCAAAATGGATTCCTAAATGCCAACATGGCACTTTAACGCCACCATCTTGAATCAGACTTACTGGAGTTAATGTGATGACGATTACATCAAAAAATAAAATTTTGCCCAAAATACTGCTTGTGCGCAAGACATCTTTACATTCATGATCCGTCCAAATCTAAATTGTATTTCATTTATAATGTATTTAAAATTTATTTTTACACTAAGATAAAATACGATGCAACTAATATTAATTACTGGTTACAAAATAAAAATGCCCTCTTCATGTCAATCACCAATTACTGAAAACACAACACAAAATAAAGATATGCAAATGATATGAATACAGTCAAAAGTCGTTAATTCGGACACCCATAATCCGGACCTCAAAGCTAAAAACTTTCTGCGCGTGCGCCGCGTTGACTCATGCGCATAGATGTTTACGCGTGCGCGTAAGACCTTTATGACTGCGCATATGCGTGTGTGCAAGTGCAGACACGTTTTCGCGTGCACGTTTAATGTATAACGGACGGTATAAGCTAAAATTATCTAATTATCTACTTCAGTTAATGTTGATGATTGCGCTGTTCCTTAATCTTCGAACTAGATCTGGCTTATTACTTTTTTCAGACTGTAAGAGCAATTTTATAAAAGTAAACTTGAACTTTCGATTATGTCAAATAGAATTTCTGATGCTGGAGCTCCCAAAGGATCTACAAAACGAAAGTATGTTTCGATGTCCATCAAACAAAAAGTGGAATTGCTGCAAAAAATGGATAAAGACATGAAGAATGTGACAGAGAGGTTAGTGAAAATAAAAAAAATTCGATTGACAAGTTAGTCGGTATTCTCGCACAGCAATTAACAGGACTTGAACAGCGGAACTTTGTAACTGAACAAAAATTATGTCTGTTTATAGAATTAAAGAGAAAGTATTATCATATAAAACGAAGCAACTTAAACAACTTACATTGAAAGAAATGTTTAATAAAGTAAACAAATAAATATTAAGCTTTTTTTTTTGTAAATTTTGATACCCTTTAGATCATAATTGTTCTTTATTTCATAAATTACGGTTTCATATTTACAATTTTAGAATTTCTGCATGCCATCTTACAAGATTTAAACTGATGATCTATAATTCACAAAAATCGATAATCCGGAATCGCCGAAGTCCCCGACGAGTCCGGATTAACGACTTTTGACTGTATTACGATAATGAATAGTTAGCTTTCTATCTGCTCATAAAGTATTAGAACAATTATTACTTATATTTGTATTTGTAAAATTATTTATAATTTTTGTTTGCATGATCATGAGAGTGATTTCATTAAAGGAAATAATTTAATGATCATAATATATATCTCATGACCAGATAGATAAAATCAAACTAGACTGTCAAAAAACAAGCAGAATCGATGAAAATGAATTAACTAGACTGTCAAAAAACAAGCAGAATCAACGAAAATGAATTAACTAGACCATTTACATTATTACCACATACATTAAAGCCTATGAACATGGAAAAACGTTTATCTGCATTTTTAATAATTGTACTACACATCTTGTAATAGCAAAATGTAACAAAGAGCTCTTTACATGTACTAAAATACAAGAAGAAACAAAATTCCCCAAAATAAAAAATAAAAAATAAAATTAGTTATTACTAGGTATGATTGACTAACTTTTTTTTCTAATGAAAAAGTTTGGTTTATTTTTTTTTTTAATCTTATAATGGTTATCTGAGAAAGAATCGACATTCTGGAGAGAACTTTCTAAGATTAGTAAAACTAATAAATATTACATCTGCATAAATAAAATAATCAAAAACAGCTCCAAGAAACTAAATTTGCATTTTCTAAAAAAGATCATGTTAGGCAGTTGTTTTACATGCAGAGTGAACCAGTCACGCATTCATAGCCCATAGCAGAGGAATTTTCAGAACTCATGCAAGAGTTCAAAGATCACACAAAAAAGTATTAATTAATGAAACCTAATTTCATTGATTTAAACCTAATTTGGCTAATCTTTATTCTACGGTACTGCCTGGATTTTTTTGTAAAAAAATCAAAAAAAAATCCATGCAGTACATTAAAAAAAAAATCGCCAAATCGGGAAGCCCTCCCCACGAAGTAGAACTCTAATGTTGACAATGTTAGCGAAACTACTGGTTACCATGATGGTATTTAACTTTTAGTTTCCCGATTTTTAAGTGAAACTAGATCGATGTGTACATGGGCCAAGTTTAAGGCAGTGCGTAATGCCTAGTTTGTGCAATTCTCTGATTTTTTTAAGTGAAAATAGACCAATGTGTACATGGACATGAGTTTGTGTACATCTTTGACTTCTTATTTTGTTTTTGTGTAGCAGCCGTCTTGAAATTGTGCCTTCCTGGCGCCGATCTTGGCGTCAAAAAAGAAGCGATTCGCCAAGGGTTACCATACAATAAATTTTTAACCTTAACTCCATGGATCTTTTTCATTGATTTAAATTTTAGTGCTCAATATTCAGTTCATGCACTACAATAAAAAATTTCATATCTTATGTATAAGTTTATGGCATTCAAAGGATTCATATATACACTTTTTCTACTTCACTGTTATAAAACTGCCACAACTTACAAACAGAAAAATAATATTTGACAAATGATAAATACATTAAACCAGTAGAAATTTTATAAAATACTTTGATAAAATCATGAAAATGAATTGTATAAAACAGACACCCAGCAAATAGAAAATACATATATATATAATGTTCAAAACTAATGTCCACTGCTCATATGATGTAGAACACACAATTTTGAAACAAATGCTAAATTTGTAGAACTGCAGAAAAAGAAATTCAAACAATTGGTTTTTTCAGCCATATTGTAACATAGGAACTCAGTTGAATAAAGATCAAATTCAAAAAAGACATATACATTGTTATAAATAAAGTAAAAAAAAAAAAAAAAAGATGGCATGTATGAAAGCGTAATAGAAAGATATCTAAGAGAAACGTTTAATTATTTGCCTCTGCAATCAATTTCTACAATTTTTATCAACTTAATGAAAGACATATTTAATTGCTATTAAATTACATCCTGATCGGCTTTCAAAATATGGCATTATAAAGTATGACATTACTATTACACACAAAAAACAGAAAGCAAACAATTCTTTACAACAGAGAATAAAAAATCTGAGTTTTTCAGGAAAATTTGATCACATGAAGTATTTTTCAAAGAAAATCTCCTTACATATACATACAGATGAAAATAAATAAAACTTTCCACCAAGAAATATTTCAACAAAAGACAAATTTATTATCAATATTAAAAAGCTTCTAGAATTTTCATTTTGCCTTACACAAATCATTCATAGCATACTATATTAAAACATCCCAGCATGCATTATACATGCATAAATTGATATTAAAATTGACAAAACTGTTTAAAATTCTTAAAAGTATAAAAAATTATTGGTACAAAATTTCCACATCATAACGCAAGTTAAATAATTGTATATTTCATAATGAAGCATGCAACATCATTTAAACATATGCTGAGACGTGATATAAACAAACTGATAAGAATCAAAACATAATTTGAATTATTTAACTATCATTAATATTAAAACTCTAAAATTACATATCATAATAGAGGCTGTATTATTGTAACACTAAAGTCATTTGTGCCAAATTGAATATGCATGAACTACTACATTTTTAAATAAAGTAATATTGTGAACACAGGCTTACCAAAGCACTTTTGCCGACACCTCCACTGCCTAATACTACAATTTTGTATTCTCGCATAGTGGGCGTGTTGAAAACTTATTTCAATACCTAAAAAATTAAAAAATTCGCTATATTTCCACATACCATAAAGATTAATTTTAAACTGTAGTGGCACATATAGCATAATACATACATTACCGAAGCTATATAAGCTATGTTAATCAAATTTCATACCTCATAATGCAACTGCAAAATAACACTGCCTTGAGCACTGTAAAAATGCAACTACTAAAGAAAGTTCGTTTAAAAACGGACTTATAATAAGTAGGTGTGGTTCCATGAAAGATGGAAACCACCCCGTATCACACATACATCCTGTGGCATTTTGGAAATGTAATCATCGTTCTCAAACACTTAAGATAACCCACAAGAACATTTATTAATGTGCATATGGTGAATGAATTAAAAATGCAATAACAGGATTAAAATATTATGTGCAATATATTTTGCAAGCTACGTGCAACATGAAGGGTTTTCTTGCTGTTTTAACACAAGAGATAAAAATAGAGGGAACGCAGAATGAAGAAAAATATTACAACATGTTTTTAAGAGACATTATCTACAAATAAGATTAAGTTCATGATACAGACCAAATGACTAGCAGAATTCTTTTTAAAATAAGCTTGAGATGTCAATCATGTGTGTTAGTCAGCTGTAAAAAAATTCCTTTTAGCCGCAAGCATACTTGTAAAGAACAAAGATACGATAATGCTTGAACTAAATGTATAGGAAACAAATCAATTTCAAAATCATAATTAATGCAAACCTGTTTAAATTTCAACTTACCCACAAGAAGAAAAAAATCCTAAAAAAAAGTCAATGCGATAATCAGCCTCACCGTAGATGGGCGATGGCTACTTCACTTCCGTAAATGGTGACGTAACTAGTGATTCCGGATGTGGAAAAATTTGTAACTAACTAAAAATTATAAATTAACTAACTTTCTATATTTACGTACAATAATATATTTTTTAAAAATAGAACATAGATTGTACGATTCAATTTAACATGATTCTTCGCTTCGGCAAATCGGTTTGTAACTGCAACAATTTTATCATAAAACGCAAAGCAAAGAATGAAAGGATTTAAATTATTAATTCAAGTTGTAAAAATGAACAAATATTACACATCATATGTATTTACCGTTATTTGAAGCTTATTCAGCTTACAACCGACCATTATGAATTAAATTATTTGCATTTAATAATAATTATTAATTTTTATTGATGATCAGCTAAGGTAAATTTCTGAAAATATTTAAGTGTTTAGATATAAAACACAAATTGTACTGAAGCAGCAAATAAGAATTTATTTAAAATGTGATAAAATATTCTAATTTAAAATGACAGTTGTATACTTGCATTAAAGGCGGCAGCACTGAATATCCAATTCATTCATTTCTTCTCAGGGGATTTTTAAAAGCTAAAATTTATATTGTTATGATACTAGGGACCCTAATTTCAGTAAACGCCCAAGAGCGATCCTAAATGTTAGTAATATGTAATTTTGTATATGTGTTATGCAAATTGTTGCTCAAATTCTTTATTGTATATTGTTCTTTTTTCCTCCTGATTGCATTTAGTTTTTACTAGTGGCACTAAGGCGTCGCACTTCGTATTTTGTTTCTCTTGTGTGTACATGTATTCTTCTGTGAAATAGTTGTTTAAAAAATAGTTAATTATGTATGGATTAGTAATTAGGTACTTAAGGAAAAAATATGTATTTAACTATTAGCAATTATGAATTTAAACTCTTACTCATTTAATTATTTAGCACATTCAGTTATATTTCTCATAATTCGAAACTGTTATCATGTTATTCGATGAGGGGTAGGGCTATGGCGCCCAGGCAGCCTGGTGGTTAAGCACCGCAGTTCAATGTTCTAAAGCTAAAATTTACAAAAATTTCGTATCATATTGTAAAAGTTAAAAATCTTGATATTTGAAATAAAGGGCTGATTATTTCCAAAAGGCAATTTGAAAATGCTTATTTCTCTTTAAAAGACAAGCAGAAAGAAACTGTATGAAAGGACATTGGTCAGTAAACGTTATTGTTACGGATTTTGGCAACCATTTCCTGAGGAATAACCATAATCAGTATAATCCTTGGTTTGGGTAAATCACCGCTCAGGGGGCATTTTCAAAATTTCCTCCACTAATATTTTCATTGCAAACAGCCTTCGTATTAACATTAATTTCGCTATTATCAGTAGTTGCAAATTTGTTAGAGGTTTTAACATCCACGTTATTCCTAAGGATTTTGCATGGCTGGGCGATCTTGAGAGATGAAATAAATCTGTCTGAGCAAGGTATTTTTTCCAGCCCACTTTTTTTTTTCTTTCAAACTGACCTTGGCTTCAGTAGAGGAGTTAAGTTTACCTAAATAAGCACCATATTTGACGATATAAAAAAAATACATCTTTAGATGTACCAGGTTCATTAGCATAAAAAGAAATAATAATATGATTCTCAACATCATGAACAGATGTTTTCCCTGATGCATAATTTTCCTTACCATTACAGTTAGTTACATTAGTATTAACTACATTTGAATCAATAATAGGACTATTAAGTGCCTTATAATTTTCCCTCTTACCTTTCAAATTGTTGAATATGGTTTCCATATCCTTAATTTGTCCTTCGAAGTACATCCGATAAGATATACAGTCCACTCCGAGTTTAGTTATGAGCAAAGATTCAAGCACACTACGAAGTTTTTCCACAAAGTCCAACGAACGTTTAAGAAAATTTACCGCATTGATGAAATCATCATGATCGAGTTCTTATTTGGGTCAACACGTTCTTTAGACTACCGTTCATGTCAATAGAATCCAAGTCACTACACGGTTCTTCTTCACTATTCGAATTTAAATCAAACTCATCTTTGCTTGCCATAATTTAACGCATTAAACACTAAATAAGAACAAGCAATCGAAAGTAAATCCACATAGTTCAGGAAGAAATTACGCTACAATCGTAGAAAAGCGAAACACATGCTCACTGAGGAGCCCTTGGAAAACACGTCCTTTTCCTACGGTACCCAACGGTCGAAAAAACCTGGTAACGACGATGTTTTGCTCTCGTTGATTCTAAACTAGATATTAAAAACAATATTATTGTTCGTTTATCTTTTCCCTTCAATTCAAAGTCTAAAGCTCTTATTTCTAAAAAAAGAAAGTGTGAGAGTAGTAAGCCACGGTACTCGGGTGACGGAAGTGACGTCACAGAAAAGGGAGAGTGGCCTCCGCCATTTTGAATTCCTCCGGAAGTGACGACACCAGCTCCATCTTGTATCACGTGATGGAATGACATTATCAAAGTTTCGTTTTTAGGGTGTGACAACGATCTTTTCAAAGTTTTTATTTTTTGTGGCAACGACACTATTTGTTTATGTTTGTGGAAACGAGCTCTTGAACCACGTGTATCGAATGACATCACTTTTAATTTATTGTTTCCATTTATTTAATATGCATTTATTGTCCCTTATTATTTTAACTAATACGTCATTACTTTTAATTATTTACTCATTTTTATACGATTCATATTAATTATTTAATCCGTCATTATTTTTAATTAGTTTTAATTGATTCATTATATTTTAATCCATTTTTAATGAATTTAGTATCATTTTACCTGAATTTTAAAAATAACTCCACGGCCGAGATTTGAATTCGCTATCTCTGGGGTGGGAGTCTGGCGTTTCACCGCTCGGCTACCCTTTCATGTTATCAAGCCTGTTATTTTTCCGTTTGGAGCGAAAATAAATGGACCTTATAAGAGATAGACTAACCCAATGGGCGGGGCGCGCGTCACCGACATGTCGGCAAGAAAGAGTAGGGACGATCTGGTTTACTCTTAACACTGAAACCTTATGGCGTTTGTATCACATAACTCTGTTTTTTATTATTAAAATGTGATACATTGTATAAGTGATCAGATATTATGGAAAGGCCACAGTTTTTTTTTTTCAAATTAGGATTTAATATATCTCATTAAAGGCACTTTTTTACTACATTTCGCGCATTTTTTTCACACGTAAATCTTGTACAAACATCTTTACTTTGGTAAAACGGTAAAAAATTCTAAGCACAAAATTTATGACCTTACATTTGCGTACAAATAACGTAAAAATTAAATAAGATTGATAGTATGATGATGCTTTGAAATAAATAAGGTAAAATTAAACAAGATCTGATAATTTTTTTAAAACATTTAATGACCATTTTCAGGCAGTGATCTTCAAAACTATAATAACATTACAAAACAATCATTTATTTGATTATATCATCATTAACTTATTAACATTAAAGTGGAATATTTATTTTAGTAATTTATAAAATTCGGAGCATAAAATTTTCTGAGTGTAATGAAGGGGGGAAAAAAAGTAAACTAAAATCTAGAAGCACTCAGATTTTATATTACGCCCAAAAGGAACCTTTTAAAATTCCTTTATAGAAATTGCGCTGCAGCACAATTTCTATAAAGGAATTTTATTTCATAATACATCATAGTGATAAACACTTTTGACTCCTTAAAAATTTTTATACCTTTAATATTAAAATTGTGTTTAACCGTAATAATTAATTTTGCTTGAATTTTATAATGATTATTTTTTTTAAATTTATTTTTAGTTCTCCATAAGGTTTTTTTTTTATTTACTGTTAATTTAATTTATTATTTCAAAGGGATGCATGAATACATGCATGTTTCTTGCACTGTGACAAAAACGACAGTATCTAGAGCCATCAAATTTTGAATAATGCAATCCTCCACCCGGACATGGGCATCTGGACGGCTGAATTTCGAATTTGTTTTAATCTATTTCATATTTTGTAAAACTTTAACGAATTTTTGATTAACAAACTCAACGAGTTCAGAGAGAGGCACTATACGGAAAATAACATTTTTATCTCCAGTGCGGAAATTCTAAAGATATGCTGTTTTTAAATGTATGTGGTTTACGGGCGAAGACCATGATATTCAATAAATATAGGTAACACACAAAACGTTAAAAAAAAAGGTTCCTTTTGGGCGTAATATAAAATCTCAGTGCTTCTAGATTTTATTTTACTTTTTTCCCCTCCCCTTCATTACACTCAGAAAATTTTATGCTCCGAATTTTATAAATTACTAAAATAAATATTCCACTTTAATGTTAATAAGTTAATGATGATATAATCAAATAAATGATTGTTTTGTAATGTTATTATAGTTTTGAAGATCACTGCCTGAAAATGGTCATTAAATGTTTTAAAAAAATTATCAGATCTTGTTTAATTTTACCTTATTTATTTCAAAGCATCTCGTACTATCAATCTTATTTAATTTTACGTTATTTGTACGCAAAATTAAGTTCATAAATTTTGTGCTTAGAATTTTTACCGTTTTACCAAAGTAAAGATGTTTGTACAAGAATTACGTGCGAAAAAAATGCGCGAAATGTAGTAAAAAGTGCCTTAATGAGATATATTAAATCCTATTTGAAAAAAACTGTGGCTT